TCAAGCAAAAGCACTTGAATATTCATCTAGATTCATGTGGAAAAATACTATTCACAAATGGAACAAAATGGCAATCAACTGGACAATCAGGAACAATCTTTTTTTAAAGAATTATTATGCTGGCTCTTATAGAAATTAACAAAACTTTATGGTCCATTAATAAAAAATGTATGAAAATGGAAAAAAGCTATGGGGAAAAAGGTAGAAACTTGGTTATGCATCCAAATCATTATTTTGGTGGCAGCCCACATGTCAGGGTGGACTGTGGCCTCTCAGCACCCACCCTCCTAATCACGCCCCTGAGCTATTCTTAGTCATGGAAGGCTGGTGAACGTTTCAATGGAATTAAATGAAGGATTTTTTTTTTAAATTTATGTTTTAAGCAAATTCCATTTTTTTCTGGATTTGCTAATGATAATTTCTTATATTTCTGTAAATCATAATTAAATCGGTATCTGAAAGTCTGATTTGACGCAAAGCTCCCATGAAAATAACATGCTGGAAAACATTGAAAAGAATATATAAAATATGCGAATGTTAATTGCCAAATCAAATGAAAAGCAACGTTTGAATACATCGATCTCATACATCTTTAATAAGGGACGAATTCTTTGTCTATGCATGTCTGGACGAGTACTAGGTTTACATCTATAATTTCAGAGTTAGAACCGCGCAGGCTTTTCCCTAAAAACTATTGTTTTCTTCTAGCTTAAACTTAAAATAAGTAAAACCTTTATATCCTGTACTCTCAAATCGCCCTGGTAATTCAGCATATTTGTTTTTTTAATACTTCATATAACGTAAAATGTGTCACATCCAAAATCAGCAACGGAATCAAAACTTTTATTTTCCAGTTCAGGCTCAAAACTTTGGGGGGTGTTGATTTACCCTGCGTTAAACCCATGTGGAGGAACTACACAGTCAGTAACTCAAGCAAAAAATAAAGAATAATAAAAATAAAAAAACTAAGCATTTTAAAATGTTTTTTCGGTTTGTAAAATTGAAGATACTGTATTGGAAACAAAAGTAATGCCTACCCCTGGGATCAACTTGTCTTGTTTATGAGCGTGTGGTGTCGTGGCTGCCCGTGTGCGCGCATATTAGAGAGAGGGAGAGAGAGAGATGGAGAGATGGAGCTATTTCATTGGCAGAATAACAGTGTGACTTTCCCTCCCTTTGCTGCCAATCCTGGGATCAAAAAATACCCACCAAATAATCTCCTAGCCATCCAATGCTGCTCATAAATTAGTTTCTGGAAAACACTTAACAAACTAATGACCTATTGATTGGCTGATTACATATTGCATAAACAACAACTGATTGGCGACAATATCAAATGGCATTGCCGCTTAACATCCAAAGCAGCCACAGTGACGGGTGTTGCACAATGTTTTGGCGGTTGCAAAAGAGCCAAAGATGAATAAATAAAGGGTTGTACGGTGTGCAGCGCGTTCAATTTAATGGCTCACAGTTCGTCTAATTCGAAGCAGTCGCGTCTTTGAAGGCAGACACTTTGGCGTAAATGTACAGTTAAAATATTCTACTCTCGGGTCCCCAGCGGAGCTCCGAACAGTCCCTGGACTCATTAAATTTTCATCAGTATCTGTGAAAGGGGGGGAAATGTTCAGGGGAAAGAGAAAAATAAAACAGAGGGCGTAATTATAACAAAAAGGAAACAGCGCTGCCCTTTTCGTTTTGTAGAAAGCTCCCACAGTGTCGTCTGCATACGCTGTTCAATGTATGGAAGCATGGCAGCATAGGTGGGCACATGTGGCCTGGTCCTGTGGCTTTAAAAGGTAAACTGTTGCTTCACATATTTTATTATATAAAAAGACCTTCGATTTTTTTCATTGTGCTGCTGAGGGCCTCTTTTTTTTGCTTTGTGTTGTGTGTGTGTGTGTGTGTGTTTAATTTTTTCAGTGCTGGGGCCACATTTGATTCGCTATCAAAGAATCCAGATCGATTTTCCTCCCAATATGTGAAAGAGTAAGCAGCAGTCTGGTTGAGAGCTGCCTTGCCTGGTATGTATGTCTG